AACCACTTGTTCTAGGAGCCTCAGTCTCTCCCCAGACACAGAACGGCCCTGTCCTGCCCACTGGGGAGTGTCTCCATTAGGCATCACAATGATACTGTCACTGCTCTGCTCCCTTTTCCTACTCACTGCCCCATCAGGTGAGTATTTCATGGGACACTTAGAAACACCAATGTGGAAATGCACCAGGGAGATTCAGCCCTGTTTTCTCTTCCCCCAGGTGTCTTCTCCCAGGTACAGCTGGTCCAGTCTGGCCCGGGGAAGGTGAAGCCCGGAGAGACCCTCAGTGTCACTTGTAAGGTCTCAGGTCTCTCAGTGAGCGCCAACTATTAGAGCTGGGTCCAGCAGCCCCCTGGGAAAGGGCTGGAGTGGATGGGACGCATCCAGAGTGCTGCAGATGGAGGCAACACAGCTTACAACTCAGCTTTCGGTAACCGGATCACTGTCACCAGGGACACCTCGAAGGACGAAGTCTATCTCCAGCTCCGCTCGCTGACAGCTGCAGACACAGCCACCTACTACTGCACCCAGCAGACACAGTGACAGAGCAGAGCACGGCCTGGCACAAAAAGGGGAAGCGGGTTCCGTGCAGACACTCAAGACCCTTTCACACAAACTTCCCTGCCCGAAGCAGAGTCAGGCATAACTGGGGGGGGGGGGATTTATATCCACTCACGTCCCTGCAAGAGACACACTCAGGCGCTGGCCTATTCCTACTCAACTCCACTTGTTTGGAGGCGTCAGTGGCATTAATGTGCAAGTGTAGGTTCACACGTTCACACACACACATTGTCACACTCACACCCACCACACACTCACTCACTCACACACTCTCTCACACACAGGGCAGGCTGGAATCCTTCCCGCAGCGGGCAGGACTCACACAGCAAACTGTGTGTCTCTTTGAAAATCGACTCGGACGTGAAGCACTCCATTTCCCTCTACTGCATCGCCCCACCCTTTGGCTCCCCAGTCACGCGGCCCTGTTCGGTTAACACCAACACAAGCTACGTTTTCTGGCCACCTCCAGCGCCACTGCCTTTTATTAAAGCCAATTGCCTCTCTCTGCTGTGTGCTGCCAGCCCTTCTTCCCCTGCAGATTGACCTCCTGCCCCATCAGATCTGACACAAGCAGGAGAGACTCATTTCCACTCACAGCACCCGTGCTCTGTCTATATTTATTCTATCTCCCCAGCACGTTCTGTAGCAGGCCCTGCTCGAATGGGGAGACACCAATGGACTTCACTGCACAAGGTCACCCCGTAAGACAGAAAGAGCGTGTGTGACCCTCCCAAGTGTGTGACAGCACTCCCCGGAGAGAGCTCTTCCTGGTACTTTATCCCCTTGGGGTGGCACCTGCATGGTGATCCCTGTCCCAGTGGGCCCTGTTCTTTGACCCTCCAACCCACCCTCTCACAGCCACCTCCTCTCGTTACATGTGTGCTCAGCTGAAAGAACTACCTCTCTGTGGTGTAAAGGGGACACCTGTCCCAGAGGGGACATGGCCATGTACTGAGCCATGTACCCCATCTTATACCCACCCTGGGGAGCCTGCATGCAAATCCCTGCCCTGGGAGATTCCTGTTAAATACAAAGCCCTGGTTCTAGGAGGCTCAGTCTCTCCCCAGACACAGAACTGCCCAGTCCTGCCCGCTGGGGGTGTTTCCATTAACCATCACCATGACACTGTCATGGCTCTGCTCCCTTTCCCTACTCGCCACCCCATCAGGTGAGTGTTTCATGGGACCGTGAGAAACACTGAGGTGGGGAAAGCAGCGGTTCCAAGAGAGTCAGCTCTGCTTTCTCCTTCCCCCGAGGTGTCCTTTCTCAGGTGTAGCTGGTCCAGACAGGCCAGGGAGCAGTGAAGCCCGGATACACCCTCACACTGACCTACACTTTCTCGGGTTACTCCATCACTAGCGGTTCCGGCTGGCACTGGGTCCAGCAGCCTCCCGGGAAAGGTTTGGAATGGCTGGGACTGGGATATTACAGCGGTTCCACAAGGAACATGAACTGAGGCTCATCTTTCCAGAGCCGAATCACCATCTCCACAGATTCCTGGAAGAACCAGGTCTCCCTGCAGCTCCGCTCGCTGACAGCCGCAGAAACCGCCGCCTGTTACTGTGACAGAGGGACAGTGAAACAGAGCAAAGCAGGGAGCCACAGGAAAGGGGGAAGTGGAGCCTGCACCGACATTCAGGCCTCTACAACACATCCGATGAAGTGAGCTGTAGCTCACAAAAGCTTATGCTCAAATAAATTGGTTAGTCTCTAAGGTGCCACAAGTCCTCCTTTTCTTTTTGCAAATACAGACTAACACGGCTGCTACTCTGAAACCTACAACGCTTTTTTTTATCTGTCTAGAAAAGCAGGAGACCCACCTTTCCGGTAGATGGCAGTAAAGGGACAGCCACTTGCAGGGGGTGAAAATTCATGAGGACAGAGGAAGAAACCAGTGAAGAGTGATCGCTTCACCAAAACGTGTCTGCACACAGGTAGTTAACTACTGACTGTTCATTCCAGGCCATGTAAATTCTGCCTCTGGACGTCCTCATCCCATCCTTCCGCTAAAAGCAAACAGGACTAGCCTGGGGGCAACACATGCACCACGATATTGTATCCCTTCAGGAAAGAGTTTGGCCTGAAACAGTCAAAGTTCACAGGGATTTAGTCACACTAAAATAAATTTAAAAGTTCTCTGCCATGGTCTCCCCGTTGGCAGCCACATTCATCCACACACCAAACCCAGTGTCATTCCCTCCAACACACCCAGAAAGGGTACATGCTCCAGTACCGCCCCTGAAAGCAAGGCTCATTCACTCCAGTCACACCCACACACACACCCTCGTCTGGAGTCTCTATTCCCTTTCCAGCTGGGGATATTTATTGACTTCCCAGCCATTATTTTTTTCTCTCTCCTTCTCCCTATCTATCGATGTCTGTTAATAATGCCCACTCCACTGCCATCCTATCTGAGTATTTTACAATCCATAACATACCCCCACAACAGTTCTAGGAGATCGGTTAGTCCATTTTGGGAACTGAGGCCTGGAAATCTTATGATCCTGTACTGTTCTATCTTTGGTAATTGTATGGCTTCCATCACCGCAGTATCTGACCTCACAATCTTATTAATATATTTCTCCCGACCACATACCTGTGAGGCGGGGGGTGGTGTTATTCCCATTTGACAGAGGATGAAGTGAGACCCAGCCAGACTAAGTGACTTGCTCAGGGACACACAGAGAGTGTGTGGCAGAGAAGGAAAAAGAAGTGAGGGCCTTGTCTACACAGCACTTCCAAGTTGGAGAGCATTAAATCAGCCCTGGGCTCTATAACTCTCCAGGTGTCCACACTCGCAAGGCACTTAGAGGGCCTGTTCTCTGCAGCTGGAGCGCCCCTAGTAATCCACCTCCATGAGAAGCATAGAGCTTGCTGCACCCAGGCTGAAGCACCGGGGTGTCAGTGTGGACAACGTGTTGCATTACTGCATTGTGATTGGCCTCCAGAAACGTCCCATAATCCCTTGAAGTCAAATGACCGCTCTGGTCATTGTCTGGAACTCGGCCGCAGGCATGGGGCTATCCCCTTTCAAAGCTCCGTGTCTGGCAGCTGGCTGCTTCTCTGCCCCGGGACACAAAGCAGCAAGACAGCCTGCTGACACTCTGCCCCCAAAACACAATGTCTGTCCCCCCACATACGCACAACACACTCCCTGTCACACTCACCCCCCACCCCACCCCCCATTTGAAAAGCAGCTGGCAATCTCTTCGGATGCCCATGGAACAATGGGATTGGGAATCCTGCATCGCCTGAGGCTGTGCCTGCCCCATTAGGCATTGCAAACCCTTTCCAGTGCAGGCCGCATCCACTTGCACACTGGGATGGCTACCACAATGCACGGCTCTCTGTGGCATTGCACGAGCTGCTAACGTAGACATGCTCCACGGTCACAAGGAGCAAGTGTGACCACACAGCAGCAGCGCTTTCCCCTGCAGCGCTCTACATCTGTATAGACATAGCCAAGGACGGTAATGCGGACTATTCCCGCAGGCGGGTGGAAAGGACCAGACACATCATATAAATGATCCATTATGCAGCCATCACTAGGGTCGCCACAGCGAAGGTTACACCAGGGACTTGGTTCGAAGCTGAATAATGAGTCTGGGCTAAAGCCCCCATACAGTCAGTTCAGCTGCAAAACTGATGTGTCAATTCAGGGGCTAGGATGCAGATCGTGGTGCCAATTCGAAGTTATTTCACATAGCGATTCCCGGCAATAACCCCTGCCCCCAGCCAAAGTGACCCGCGCTGGCATGGAAGATCTCTGAGCCTATTTAAAGTTGTACAAACCCTTCTGCCAACGTGTTGTTATGGAGAAGAAGAGCAGTGGCTAAAGCCCACCACAAACTGAGCCCCTTGTCCTGGGAAATATTAGAGTGAGAGTCTAGGGGATCTGAACCTCAAGTTCCCCCTTAATAACATAACAGAGCGAGCTAACTGCCCACCTAGCTCCAGTACTTGTTCGTCCAATCAACAATCAATAACGAATAAGCAACCATCAATAAACCAAACCTGCTGAGTCTGGGACACATCGGGGAAAGTGTCTGGGGCTTTGAAACAGGGAAAGGTGCTAAATAACTGACGTTCCTGGACCCAGAATTCGAGCTCTTCAGGCCCTCCTTTGTTTACACGAATCAGTGGACACCAGAAACTGATGGGGGGGGAGGGGGGAGATGAGAGTTTAAATTCCATTCATTATGGGTGTTTGCAATTTCCTCTTCTTCAGTCCACTAGCCAAGCATTTATCCGTCTCTGTGTGTCTCTGTCTAACCCACTGCCTCTGTCTGTCCAATGTGGACACAGAGAGGCAGAGCCCCGCCCGGCCTTTTTATCAGCTCTCTCTCTCTCTCCTTCCTGGGGCGCTCCCACGTTATGCAAATCCCCGCTCCGGGCTCTGGGTTGAAGTAGCGGCCCCGGGGCGCTCGGACCCGCCGTGTCCCCCAGGCGCTGAGCTGCCCCTTGCGAGCGCTTTGTTGTCCCCGCCTAGCGCACAATGAACTCTCTGCTCCTCCCCCTGCTCCTCCTGGCTCTGGCCCCGGGTGAGTGGCTGCGGGAGGCTGCGGGAGGCCGCGCTGATTTGGGGCGGGGGGGAGAGAAGGTGGGTTTGAATCTGACCGATCCCTGCTTTTCCCAGGTGTCCTGTCCCAGCTCCGGCTCCAGGAGTCCGGCCCCGGGGTGGTGAAGCCCGGAGAGACCCTCACGCTCACCTGCACCGTCACCGGGGGCACCGTCACCAGCAGCTACTACTGGGACTGGGTACGGCAGGCTCCGGGCCAAGGGCTGGAGTGGATGGGATACTGGAGCGGGAGCACAAGCTACAACCCGTCTCTCCAAGGCCGAATCACCATCACCGTGGATTCTTCCAACACCAAGTATTATCTGCGGCTGGGCTCGCTGACAGCTGCAGACACCGGCACCTATTACTGCGCCAGACACAGTGACCCGGAGCACAGCAGGGACCTGTACAAAAAGGGGAAGCGGATTCAAAGCAGAGCAGAGAGGCCAGTTCAGCAGGGAGTGCTGAGTGCAGACCCGTCCCCTGCACAGACACGGACCCTGGCAGGTTTCAGTCCCTCCGGCAGGGAGCAGCAGGAACACACCCACCCACCAACACACAGAAGATGTGTGAATGTGAAACCCCTGCTTAGAAATCACTATTCCCCAGGACATAAAATCACACAACCCTAGGACTGGAAGGGACCTGGAGAGGTCTCTGGTCCAGACACCAGAACTCACGGCAAGACTAAGTATTATCTAGACCATCCCTGACAGGTGTTTTTTTAACCTGCTCTTAAAAACCTCCAATGATGGAGACTCCACAACCTCCCCGGGCAGTTTATTCCAGTGCCCAACCACCCTGACAGCTCGGAAGTTTTTTCCTAATGTCCAACCTATACCGCCCTTCGCGCACCAGAAGACAAGACAAAATTTCTCTCAGATGTTGCTGAATTATGTCATTCTTAATCTAATGAAATGATGTCTTTACAATACATTGAAATAACTGTGTAACTATTGACGGAGAGTCAGAAAAAAGATTAAAGAAAATGTAGTGTAATACAAATCTGTGTGTGTGTTTGTTTCCCGTTTCCCCATCACATTGGCTGACGTTCTCCCAGCAGAAGTTTCAGCCACACACGCTGCGGCTCCTCTTCCAGCGGGTAAATCGGCACCAAAGAGTCGAGACTTCGGTGTTGTCATCAAATCTCTCACACATTTACCTAGGGAGCAGGAGTTTCAACCCGCTCGCTGCTCCTCCCCTGTCCATACAGCCCGCCTCCCCCCTTCCCCCCCAGCCAGCCCCTTTCATCTCCCATCCCCGCTGGGTGACACCCGCATGCAAATCCCTGCCCCGGGGGCTCCTGGTTAAATACAAACCCCTGGTTCTAGGAGCCTCAATCTCTCCCCAGACACAGAACTGCCCGGTCCTGCCCGCTGGGAAGTTTCCCTCCTTGCAAGAAAACGAGAATGAAATTTCTGTTGCTTTTCCTTTCCCTATTCTCTGCTCCCAGCTGTAAGTGTCCGGGTGGGGATGGGGAAAGTGGAAGCCGGAACAGACCCATCGATTCATTCCATGCTTTGTTTCCCTTTCTCCAGGTGTCCTCTCTCAGGTGCAGCCGGTCCAGTCCGCCCCGGGGCAGTGAATCCCAGAGAGACCCTCACCCTCACCTGCGCTGTCGCAGGGTTCTCCATCACTACTCAGCATTATCCCGGGACTGGCTCCGGCAGCCCCTGGGAACAGGGCTGGAGTGCCTGGGAGAGATTTATACCTATAACGAGGGTACAAGCTGTCCAAGGCCGAGTCACCATCTCTGGAGACACCGCCGAGAACCAGGTCTCCTTGCAGCTCCGCTCGCTGACAGCTGCAGACACCGCCGCCTATTACTGAGCCAGGAGACACCGTGGGATGGCCCAGATTGCTGTGACTCCCAACGGGCTTTCATGACAAAATTTAAGTAAAATTTAAGATATTTTTTCAAGAGAATGGGGCGGGGTGAGGGGGCGAGAGGAGACAGTCTCCCAGTTCAGCTTCCCTGCAACAGACACACACACTGACCTAGGCTCACTCAGCTTTGGCTGTCTGGGGAGTGGGGACAGCAACGAGGCCAGAGAACATGAGGAGACTCACAGACGCCGGCGAGCGCGACACGATTCCATCCTTCCAGCAGAAAGCCCCAGTCACACAATGAACCGCTGTATTTGAAACCCGACTGCAGACTGTATTTCTCTTGTGTATTTCTCACCATTGTGCGCCCACAATCCCAGCCCTTCTTCTAATGAAGCCCAGAAGCTGCATCCTCCCCGGATTCCGAGTTCCCTCCACTTTCACTAAAACGGCTTGTCAGTCTCTGGTACCTAAAACCAGCCTCCCTATCCCTGCAGCTGCGGCCCCTTCCCCATCCGCAATTCCCGGAGAGTCGCATTTCTATTGGCAGTGTCTCTGCCTTGACTATGTTTATTTTAAATGCTCAGCATATTTTGCAATAGCCAGTTCTCCAGTGGAGAGACACCTGCTGACTTCAAGGGACTTTTGGTCACACGAAATTAAGGGGGTGCGTGACTTCCCCTCCACCAGACACCACGGCCTAGTCAGACGTCTCTCTAATGGTTTATCTCCGTTTGGTGACCCTTGCCCCATGGAGTTCTCTTCCCTGCCAGTCCAGGCCCCCGCCGTCTGGACCTGCCTTCCTACTCCCACACAGCCTCCTGTCATTCCATCTGTCCTGAGCTGGGCACAGTGCCTCTCTGTGCTGTAAAGGGGACACCTTTCCCCAAGATAGGAGACATGGTCATGTACTGAGCGCTCACCCCCTGTCATCTCTTATACCCACCCTGGGGAACCCGCATGCAAATCCCTGCCCTGGGGGGCTCCTGTTTAAATACAGACCCCTGATTCTAGGAGCCTCCATCTCTCCCCAGACACAGAACTGCCCGGTCCTGCCCGCTGGGGAGTTTCCCTCACTGCATGAAACCGAGAATGAAATCTCTGTTGCTTTTCCTTTCCCTGTTCTCTGCCCACAGCTGTGAGTGTTGTCACGGAGTGTGGGGGAGTCCAGGCCCTGCACCCCTCTTCCTGGGATCCACTGAGACTCTCAGCCAGCCAGTAAAACAGAAGGTTTATTGGACAACAGGAACACAGTCCACAACAGAGCTTGTGGGTACAACCAGGACCCCTCAATCACGTCCTTCTGGGGGAGCAGGGAGCTTAGACCCCAGCCCTGGGGTTCCCTGTGTTCCTCCCCCCAGCCTCCAAACTGCCCACTAAACTCACCCCGCAGGTTCCCTGCTGCAGCCCCTGTTCACATTCCTGGGCAGAGGTGTTACCTCCCCCTCCCCCTCCTGGCTCAGGTGACAGGCTCTCAGGTCTCCCATCCCCAGGGCACATTCCCAGGTCAACACTCCCCCCTCCCTGCTGAGTCACATCGTCACATCTCTCCCCCCCTTCGAGACTGAACTGAGCGGGGTCACTGTGACCAGTGACCTGGGGAAGTTCGGGGCCCCCTCTCCGGGACAGCGCATCCGCTATCAGGTTGGCACTTCCCTTCACGTGGACCACGTCCATGTCGTAATCCTGCAGGAGCAGGCTCCATCTCAGGAGCTTGGCGTTGGTTCCTTTCATCTGGTGCAGCCAGGTCAGGGGCGAGTGGTCGGTGTACACGGTGAAGTGCCGCCCGAAGAGATAGGGCTCTAGTTTCTTGAGGGCCCACACCATGGCCAGGCACTCCTTCTCGATGGCCGCGTAGTGTTGCTCCCGGGGTAGCAACTTCTTGCTCAGGTACACGATGGGGTGTCTCTCCCCCTTTTCATCCTCCTGCATTAACACCGCCCCCAGTCCCGTGTCGGAGGCGTCGGTGAACACCACAAAGGGCTTGTCAAAGTCTGGGTTTGCCAGAACTGGGCCACTGACCAGAGCCTCCTTCAGCGCCCGGAAAGCCTCCTGGCACTGCTCGGTCCAGACCACCTTGTCTGGCTTCCCCTTCTTGCATAGCTCAGTGATGGGGGTGGCTATGGCGCTAAAGTGAGGCACAAATCTTCGGTAGTATCCTGCCATCCCAATAAAGGCTTGGACCTGCTTTTTGGTGTGGGGAGCGGGCCAGTCTCTGATCACCTCCACCTTGGCTGGTTCCGGCTTTAGGCGGCCGCTCCCCACCCGATGGCCCAGGTAAGACACTTCCGCCATCCCCACCTTGCACTTCTCCGCTTTTACAGTCAGCCCAGCCCCCTGGAGTCGGTCCAGCACTTGTCTAACCTGGGACACATGGTCCTCCCAGGTCTGGCTAAAGACACAGATGTCATCAATATATGCCACGGCAAAACTCTCCATCCCCCTCAGGAGCTGGTCCACTAGGCGCTGGAAGGTGGCCGGCGCTCCCTTGAGGCCGAAAGGCAGGGTCAGGAACTCATAGAGCCCCAGAGGGGTGATAAAGGCCGATTTCAGCCGGGCATCTGCATCCAGCGGCACTTGCCAGTAGCCCTTTGTAAGGTCCATGGTGGTAAGGTACCGAGCTCCTCCCAGCTTGTCTAGGAGCTCATCAGGCCTGGGCATGGGGTAGGCATCAGATACTGTGATGGCATTGAGCTTCCGATAGTCCACGCAGAACCGGACCGACCCATCCTTTTTGGGGACCAGCACCACCGGCGAGGCCCAAGGGCTGGCAGATGGCTGGATCACCCCCAAAGCCAGCATGTCCCGGACCTCTCTTTCCAGGTCCTGAGCAGTTTTCCCTGGGACTCGGAAGGGGGAGCATCTTATCGGCGGGTGCGACCCTGTCTGCACCCGGTGGACAGTCAGATTAGTGCGTCCAGGCTGGTTGGAAAACAGCTGTCGGTACGGATGCAGCACCTCCCTGACCTCAGCTTGCTGGGCAGGGGTTAGCTGATCCGAGAGGGGAATTGTTTCCAGGGGGGAACCAGCTCTGGTCCCAGGGAATAGATCTACTAAAGGGTCATCTCCCTGCTCTTCCCACTGTCCACACACGGCAAACACCACATTCCCCCTGGCATAATATGGCTTCATCATATTCACATGGTACACCCGGCGGTGGTGCGCCCGGTTCGACAGCTCTACCACATAGTTTACCTCATTGAGCTGCTTGACGACCTTGAAAGGGCCCTCCCAGGCGGCCTGTAGTTTGTTCTTTCTCACTGGGATGAGAACCATCACCGGATCCCCGGTGGCGTAGGCACGGGCGCTTGCCGTGCGGTCATACCAGACCTTCTGCTTCTTCTGGGCTCTGGCCAGATTCTCCCTGGCCAGGCCCATGAGTTCAGCAAGTCTCTCTCGGAAGATCAGGACATACTCCACCACTGACTCTCCATCGGGAGTGGCCTTCCCCTCCCACTCGTCTCTCATCAGGTCCAGGGGGGCCCCTCACCTTCCTTCCATATAACAGTTCGAAAGGCGAAAATCCGGTAGACTCCTGTGGCACCTCCCTGTACGCGAACAGCAGGTGAGGTAAGTACTTGTCCCATCCTGCGGGTGCTGGTTCATAAAGGTTTTCAGCATCATCTTTAGCGTCCCGTTAAACCTCTCCACCAGCCCGTTGGACTGGGGGTGATAAGCTGAGGCCCAGTCGTGCCGGACCCCACATTTCTCCCACAAGCACCGGAGCAGGGCCGACATGAAGTTGGAGCCTTGGTCTGTCAAGACTTCCTTGGGGAACCCCACTCGGCTGAAAATGGTCAGGAGCGCATCGGCCACGGTGTCTGCTTCAATGGAAGCTAAGGGCACTGCCTCGGGGTAGCGGGTGGCAAAATCTACCACGACCAGAATGTATTTCTTCCCCGACCGGGTCGTCCTGCTGAGAGGCCCCACAATGTCCATGGCCACCTTCTGGAAAGGCTCCTCTATGATGGGCAAAGGTCTCAAAGCCGCTTTCCCCTTGTCCCGGGCCTTCCCCACCCTCTGACAGGGGTCACAGGATCGGCAATACTGCCGGACCGTGGTAAAGACCCCGGGCCAGTAAAAGTTCTGTAGCAACCTCTGCCGGGTGCGCCGGATTCCCTGGTGCCCTGCGAGGGGATGTCATGGGCCAGGTACAGGAGCTTGCGGCGATACTTCTGGGGGACCACCAGCTGCCTCCTGACCCCACAGGACTCTACTTCCCTTGTGGGAGCCCATTCTCGGTATAGGAACCCCTTCTCCCACAGGAACCTCTCCTGGCAGCCTCTCCTCATGGTCCGTACCACCCTGAGGTCGGCCAGGTCCCTGAGCTTCCGCAAGGAGGGATCTTTCCTCAACTCGGCCTGGAACTCAGCGGCTGGGGAAGGGATGGGGACCGGTTCCCCCTCAGTGGCCAGGTCTGAGGCCTCAGCCTCTCTGAGCCGTGCCCCTCGGCCCTCCCTTCCCACCAGGGTAGGGTCCTGCGCCTCCGGTGCGGTACCCTCCCCGAGGTCAGGGAGCAGTGGCCCTCGCCGGCTCTGGCTACGGGTCACAACCAGGGCGGTCTGGGGCTTGCTTGGCCAGTCCTCTAGGTCTCCCCCCATCAAAACTTCAGTGGGCAAATGGTGGTGTACCCCCACATCCTTGTGGCCCTCCTTGGCCCCCCATTTCAGGTGTACCCTTGCCACGGGCACCTTAAATGGGGTCCCACCCACCCCCTGTCAGGGTCAGGTAGGTGTTGGGCACCACCCGATCTGGGGCCACCACCTCGGGCCGGGCCAGCGTCACCTCCGCACCCGTATCCCAGTATCCATTGACCTTCCTCCCATCCACCTCCAGGGGAACAAGGCACTCTCTCCGGAGGGACAGCCCCGCGCCCACCCTGTAAACTGAGCGCCCTGAGTCCAGAGCCTCCAGCCCTCTGGTGGAGCTGGCCTGGGGTACTCTTCCCTCCGGGGCAGGTGGTAAACTGGCAGCCCCCTTTGCCTGAGTCGTCTGCCCCTCGTCCAGCTGGGTCCCTACCCAGTTAACCCTGGGTAGGTTGGGTCTGCTCAGTTTGTCCCTGAGCCCAGGGCACTGGGACCGTACGTGGCCTCTCTGGCCACAGTGATAGCAGCTCAGGTCACGTTGGTCCCCTCGAGCGGGTCGGAGGGGCCCGACGCCAGGCGTTCCCCTTGGGAGGGGGTTCTCCCTATTTCCCCGCTGGGAGGCCCCCTGGTGACTCTCTCTCTGCATCGGGGGGGCCTGTTCTTTTGGGACTCCTCCCGGCTACCCCCTGACCGACTGTTCACAAACTCGTCGGCCAGCTGCCCTGCGTGCTGGGGGTTCTCGAGCTTTTTGTCCACCAACCACAGCCTCAGGTCGGAAGGGCACTGTTCATACAGCTGCTCCAGTACAATTAGGTCAAGCAGGTCCTCCTTAGCTCGGGCCCCCGCTGTCCACTTGCGGGCATACCCCTGCATCCGGTTGGCCAGTTGTAGGTAGGTGACCTCAGGCGTTTTACGCTGACTCCGGAACCTTCTCCGGTACATCTCAGGGGTCAGCCCAAACTCACGGAGCAGGGCCTGTTTGAACAGTTCATAGTCCCCTGCCTCCGGCCCTGTCATCCGGCTGTACACCTCCACGGCTTTGGGGTCCAGTAAGGGGGTGAGAAACTGGAGCCTGTCTGCAGGGTCAACCCTGTGCAGCTCACAGGCATTCTCAAAGGCCGTCAGGAAGCTATCTATGTCCTCCCCTCCTTACGCTGGGCCAGGAAGCACTTATCAAAGTTCCTTGCAGTCTTGGGTCCCCCCTCACTCACCACAGCCGGGGCCCCACTGCTCTTCAGCCTGGCCAGCTCCAGTTCGTGCTGTCTTTGTTTCTCCTTCTCCTGGCGCTCCCTCTCCTTCTCCTGACGCTCATGTTGACGTTGTTTCTCCTTCTCCTCCTGCTCATGTTGACGTTGTTTCTCATGATCCTCCAGCTCCCTCATTTTCATCTCCCTCTCCCATTCCAGCCGCCTCCGCTCCAGGGATGGGGAGCTCCGCCGGGAGGATCCCCTGCTGGGTGCTGGGGTCAGGGTGCCCTCGGTATTCGCTGGGCTTCCCCCAACCCCTCCCCCAGACATAGGTAGGAAGGGTCTCGGGATGTCCTCGGCAGCAGTCTGACCCCTCCCAGCCCGGTCAGGCCCCAGGGCCCACGCTGCGTCTGCCGGGCGGCTCCCCTCAGGGATAGGGATCGGGTCATCCAAGCGATCCCTCTCCTCCAACTGGGCAATCAGTTGTTCCTTGGTGGACCTCCCGATGCGCAGCCCCCTCTGCCTGCACAGCTCCACCAGGTCACTCTTAAGGCGTTTAGCGTACATCTCCCTGCTGGCCACTCGCAGGCCGGGCAGCTTCCCACGGTTTCCAGGAAAAGCCCTTAGTGTGCCAGTCCTTCTTGAGGTCACCACCTCTTTGCCAGGGTCGAGCTGCAGACTCCTCCGCCCCTGGGACTGCTCGCTGCAATCCCCGGGGACCCTGTTACTGCAAAAGTCTTTCTCTCTGGTCACACATTCCCAGGGGTTAACCGCCCCCGAAACCGTCTCTGAATCTTCAGCACGCCTGGTCCCCGTCAATTCCCCTTCGTTTTACTGTTCCCCAGTCACTTACTGCAGGAAGCGCTGTTCACGGGGTGCAGTAGATCCCACCGCTGCCACCAGTTGTCACGGAGTGTGGGGGAGTCCAGGCCCTGCACCCCTCTTCCTGGGATCCACTGAGACTCTCAGCCAGCCAGTAAAACAGAAGGTTTATTGGACAACAGGAACACAGTCCACAACAGAGCTTGTGGGTACAACCAGGACCCCTCAATCACGTCCTTCTGGGGGAGCAGGGAGCTTAGACCCCAGCCCTGGGGTTCCCTGTGTTCCTCCCCCCAGCCTCCAAACTGCCAACCAAACTCACCCCGCAGGTTCCCTGCTGCAGCCCCTGTTCACATTCCTGGGCAGAGGTGTTACCTCCCCTCCCCCTCCTGGCTCAGGTGACAGGCTCTCAGGTCTCCCATCCCCAGGGCACATTCCCAGGTCAACACTCCCCCTCCCTGCTGAGTCACATCGTCACAAGTGTCTCTGGGAAAGGAGGGACATTAGGGACCGATCATTAAATTCGTTCCGTGATTCATTCATTCCTCCCTTTGTTTCCCTTTCCCCAGGCGTCCTCTCCCCGGTGCAGCTGGTCCAGTCCGGCCCGTGCGTGGTGAAGCCGGGAGCGACCCTCAGTGTCACCTGTAAAGTCTCTGATGTCTCCGTCAGCGGCTACTGTTGGAGCTGGGTCCGGCAGCCCCGTGGGAAAGGGCTGGGGTGGATGGGGCGCATCCAGGATACAGCTAACGGGGGACCACAGAGTACAACTCGGCTCTCACACCTCGTGTCACCGTCACCAGGGACACTTCGAAAGACGAAGTTTATCTCCAGCTCCGCTCGCTGACAGCTGCAGACACCGGGACCTATTACTGTGCCCGACACACGGTGACACGGAGCAGAGCCGGGCCTGGCAGAAAAAGGGGAAGCGGATTTCTAAATAGTCAGCTGACTTGAACACTCAATTCGTGCTCTAGTCTATGGGGTGAGACAGGCAGGGCATTGCCGACAGTGGGGTCTCAGCTACCACCTCCGTTACTCCCTTACATCCCAGGCCCTGACACCGAGGAATTTTAAACACTCCTCTTCCTCCTGTTTCGCACTGAAATGTACACCCAGGGATTCACCGAGGCGGGGGTGATGGTTTGGGCTACCTCATATTTTGGGCATTTAACGGATACCATTTCGGGACGGATCTCCAGAAGATACTCAGCACCTGCACCTCTCATGGGCCTCAGCTGGAGCCTGGGGCGGGTGTCACCCCTGGGAAGCAGACTATCTGTGTCTCAGGCTGGTCCCCAAATATCGAGACTCCCAAATTCAGAAACCACTTCAGGACACGTTGCCCCAAAGGACTACATTTCACCCTCGCTCAGCACACACTGAGCTCTACCTGAAATCAATGGGAGCTGCAGGTGCCAAATACCTCCGAAAATCAGCCCCGAAAGAAAATGTGTCCTGAGAGAAAAGATGCTTGAAGGTAAAGGAGCCGGACTCGGTTTTCAAAAGACTTGAGTTCCATTCTTGTGTCCGCCAGAGACTTGTTACAGCGTCCTTGAATATGTCATCTGATCTGTCTCAACTGCTACACTAATAGGGACGTGTCGTTACAGTGTGTATGGTAACACCCATTGTTTCCTGTTCTTTATGTATATAAATCTCCCCACTGTATTTTCCACTGAATACATACGATGAAGTGAGCTGTAGCTCAAGAAAGCTTATGCTCAAATAAATTTGTTAGTCTCTAAGGTGCCGCAAGTACTCCTTTTCTTATTGCAGTCTATGTAGCCCTCAGCTCCATGGTCTTGGTTGGAGACTGAAACGTCTTCTCTAAAATTAACAATAAGATCTCATTCATGAGTCACTGGGGGGAAAGGTCTGGGTAGACAGATTACCCCAAGGAACAGGATTTGATCTGGAAAAGGATCAGCACTGTCAGTGTGTAGCACAATAAAATAAAATTTATTTAGTATACTGTTTCAACAGTACCTTGCACCAGTTGTGTTTAAAAAAAAAACTATAGAGGCTGAATGACGATAAATGTTGGAGAACTTGTGGTGAAAGAGGAGGGTTTTTTTGCATATATGTAGACATGTCCAGTCACTACTGCTTATAGAATCGCAATCCATAAGCAGATATCACCAATTTTTGGATATTCGTTACCAAATGATCCTCTAGAAGGTAAGGAATGATGTCCCTAGCCTCTGTTTGTCAGAGGGTCGAGATGTATGGCAGGAGAGAGATCACTTGATCATTACCTGTTAGGTTCCCTCCCTCTGGGGCACCTGGCATTGGCCACTGTCGGTAGAGAGGATACTGAGCTGGATGGACCTTTGGTCTGACCCAGTCTGGCCGTTCTTATGTTCTTATGAAATTCTCCTGCAACTTCCTAGTGGAAATGGTTGCAACAAAGGATATAAAGAACTAATCTCTCATCTTCTGGTAGCAGGTTGGCTATTGGTAGCATCTCTTTGGAAAAAAGAAAAACTGCCCAACCATTGAGTAACGGTTCAAAAAAGATGCGAGGCTCAGGATTCGATGATGGAGAAATTAACACACCATTTACCTAGACAGCAAACTAAATGGAGGACAGGTACATATTTAGATATCTGAACACTTTTTATTCAGTACTTAAAGTACATTCACCTGCAAAAACAAAACAAAACAAAACGAAAACAAGGACACGTCATTTTTTTTAACGTTAACATTCGATAGACATACCTGGGCTTTTAAACATGTGCATATAGAAATTTCACTTAATTTAATAAAATCACTAGAAGTGACAGGTGGTGTAATTATATTCACTCAGTAATGTGGTAACACCCTCGTAAATTGAAAGATCTGATGGCTGCATTCCTGTGGAATCTGTGTAATGTCTCTTCACTCAAAAGCCAACTGTTGCAATGGCTGCTTTGCTTTTGAGGTTTACAGGGCAGGGATTTTAAACTGCTGAAATAAAGAGTTTGTAGGAAAATAAGATTTCGCTGATATGATGCCACCGGGGCCCACACATTTTACAACTACTACGTGAGGTGGGAAGTCCATGTTTAACTTGGACTCCCCAGACAGCACGCCCAAGAGATACAGGCCTTCCAAATAGTTTATCCAACTAATTCTGGCCACAGCGGGTTCGCTGAGTCCCAGCCCAGGGCCCTCTCCTCCTTCTTGCTACCCTCACACAGCCTCCTCCTGTCATTACATGTGCCCGGTCATGCCCGCTGGGAATTCCCCTCCTTGCAAGAAAACGAGAATGAAATCTCTGTTGCTTTTCCTTTCCCTGTTCTCCGCCCCCAGCTGTGAGTGTCTAAGGGACAATGGGAAAAATAGGGACAGATCCATAGATTCGTTCAGTGAATAATTCAATCTTCTCTTTGTTTTCCTTTCCGAAGGTGTCCTCTCCCAGGTGCAGCTGGTCCAGTCCGGCCCAGGAGCTGTGAAGCCGGGAGGGACCCTGCGTATCACCTGTAAAGTTTCTGGTGTCTCTGTCAGTGACTACCATTGGAACTGGGTCCGGCAGCCCCCTGGGAAAGGGCTTCAGTGGATGGGGCTTATCCGGAGCTCTGCAGCAGGCCGGACCACAGAGTATAAGTCGGTTTTCAAACCTTGTGTCACCGTCACTAGGGTCACCTCGAAGGACGAAGTTTATCTCCAGCTCCGCTCGCTGACAGCCAGAGACACCGCCACCTATTACTGTGCTCGATACACGGTGACACAGAGCAAAACAGGGCCTGGCCCAAAAAAGGGAAGCAGATTTCTAAACAGTCATCCAACTTTAGGATTCATTTTGTGCTCTAGGGCAGGGGTCTCAAACTCAAATGAGGAGCAGGGTCACATGATGACTAGTACATTAGCTGGAGGGCTGCACCATTGACCACTCACGCCAATCCCGCCCCCTACCCGGCCCCGCCCCCACTCCACCCCTTCTGTGAGGCCTCGCCCCTGCCCCGCCTCTTCCCACCCCTTCCCTGCCCCCATTCCAACCCCTTCCCTGAAATCCCCACCCCAAGTCTGCCCCCTCCCTGCCCCCAGGGGCTGCAGGTGGGGTGCAGGGTGCGGCAGGCAGCTCAGGGCAGGGGGTTGGGGTGCAGGAAGAGTGCGGGGTGCAGCAGGGCGCTCAGGGCCCCCTGCCGCACCCCGCACCCCCTGGTCGAGTTGCAGGAGGGGTGTGGGGTGCGGCAGGGGGCTCAGGGCAGGGGGTTGGGGTGCAGGAGAGGTGTGGGGTGCGGCAGGGGGCTCAGGGCAGGGGGTTTGTCTGCAGGAGGGGTTCGGGTGGCGGTCGGGTCCGGCGCACACCGGGGGCAGGGCACGCTCCCTGTCTGCCTGCCCTGCCCCCGCGCCAGACCGGGAAGCGGCAGGGACCTGGGGGATGGGGTGCACAGGGCCCTGTGTGTTGCCCTGGCCGCTCCTGGGGTACCTCCCCCGAAGCTCCCATTGGCCGGGAACGGGAAACCGCGGCCAATGGGAGCTTCGGGGGAGGTACCTGGCGGAGCGGCTTGGGCAACACACAGGCCCCTGCCCGCCCCCCTCCCTCCAGATCCCGGCAGCTTCCGGGAGCAGCGTGAGGACAGGGAGGGCAGGAAGGCAGGGAGCCTGCCCTGCCCACGGTGCGCTCAATGCCGGAGTCGCTCTAAGTAAATGCCGGGCGGGGCGCGGGGATCTGGCGGTCCGCAGAAAATAACCGCGCGGCAGCCTGTTTGAGACCCCTGCTCTCGGGGATGAGACAGACAGGGTATTGCCACCTCCAATTCTCCTCTATGTTCCACCTCTTCTCAGCCTCTCCCAGCAAGGAATTTCAAACACTCCGTTTCCTTGTGCTGGACCCAGGGATTCACGGAGGGAGGACCGATGGTTTGGGCTACCTCATTTTTTGACACTTTAGCCAGAGACACTTTGGGTGTAATCTCTGGAAGATGCTCAATACTTGAATCTCTCACGGGTCTCAGTTGGAGCTGTGGGCGGGTGTCACCCCTGGGAACCAGGTTCGTCGTGTCTCGAATTGGGACACAAAGAGGGAGATTCCCTAACTCACCAGAAGCCTCTTTTAGCAGATGTGGTGGAAAGGGAACAAATGTCAGACTCCCCCAAGCGCACCCCAGCTGAGGTCAAACAAAGGAAGCTGCAGGTGCCCAACGCCTCTGAATATCAGTCCCCAAATTTCAACTTTTTGTTAGAGGAAGAGCGATTTTACCTTAAAGGTGCTGGGCTCGGTTTAAGAAGATTTGGGTTCAGTTCTCATCTGTGCCTGAGGCTCCCTGAGTGACCTTGGGGGATTTACTTCATCTTTCCCTCTGCCTCAGTTCCCCTTCTGTACAACTAGGGACTTCCCTAGTTTGATCGAAAGCTCTTTGAGCAGGAACTTTCTCTCACTGTGAGTCTCTACAGCGCCCAGCACCATGGGGCATGATCTTGGGTGATGCCTGTAATGGCTTTAGTAAAATTAATAATAAAATCTCATATTTGATAGCTACGTCAGCTTGTGAGGTCATTGTTTAATGTTAATATAGAAATAAGCAACAGGGCCCCATCCCAAGTCCTGTCACCAGTAGGATGACCAGACAGCAAGTGTGAAAAATCGGGAGGGGGGTGGGGGTAATAGGCACCTATATAAGACAAAGCCCCAAATATCAGGACTGTCCCTATAAAATTGGGACATGTGGCCACCCTAGTCACCAGTGGTTTTCCACTCACCCACCGCACTACAGTAGGGCTGGTCTAGGGAGCTCTTGCTGCTCTGGGGGGAAACAAGGGGGCGGGGACAGGCAGGGAAACCGGCGCTCTTCGCGGAGAGGACTCTGGCGCTCATGGCTAGAAGTTGTGTCTGAGCCGTCAGGGTGAAAATCAGGAATTTCCCCTTCCCACCCGGACTTCTCATTCCCACCTCCGGGCAGCACTGACCCCGCCTTTCCATCAGCAGCAGCTGCAGCTTTGGGTCTCACCAGAAGGGTGCGCTGTGCCCGAGCAGAACGGAGTTCGACCGACCCCAGCCCAAGGCGATGAAAGCCCTGAGGGGCAGAGAGTTAATTCTACAGCAGCCTGTGTGGGAAACGCCAACAGTTCCCTTGGGGCCTGGCCTGTGGTTTGCAGGTTTTCAAGGTGTCAGGAGTGGGGAAAGGACTTGGGGGACGCAGTCGTTTTTGCAAAATGAAGCGCTCTGTGGTCATTTGATCTCTGAGGACCAACAATTTTAAAATCACAAATATGCACGAGAAATGTATGGCGATGGGCGCCAGGAGAGAGAGAGAGAGAGAGAGAGAGAGAGAGAGAGTATGGCTACAGACAGACAGACAGACAGACAGATAGATAGATAGATAGATAGATAGATAGATAGATAGATAGATAGATAGATAGATGGGGTGGATGGGGATAGATAGATAGATAGATAGATAGATAGATAGATAGATAGATAGATAGATAGATAGATAGATAGATAGATAGATAGATAGATAAAAAACGCAAAGTGGACACAAATTAGAGACTGACTGAACAGCAGTAGCTAGAGATCGCACTTTCTATGAACTTCTATTTAAGTGCGGTGGCGGGGGTGTGATGTTTATGCAAATCTCAGCTCCAGGTTCCCCCATAAAGCGGCAAACCCTGGCTTCTCACACTCCTCTTGGCTGCCAGGGAACTGGATTTCCTTTGTTTGAGTCTCATCCTCAAAGATGAAATCTTTGTCATCTGCTCTGTTGTTGCTGTCGGTCTGGCTCTGTGAGTGTCTAGGGGAGGCGGTGAGGAAATGATCGCCGAGCCCTTAGGGTAGTCAGGATCTAACTCTAATTTCCGTACGTGTCCTGTCTGTTACCCAGCTGGTCCACTTCGGCCGAAGAGCGGTGAAGCCTGGAGACACCCTCACACTGACCTGCGCTGTCTCCGGGACCTCCATTAGCAGTGATAACGGCTGGCACTGGATCCGGCAGCGTCCCGGGACAGGGCTGAAGTCAGGATGGGATGGCTGTATCCATACGGCGGGAGCACAGGCTAAGCCCCATTTCTCCAAGGCCGAGTCTCCATCTCTGCAGACACCGCCAAGAACCAGGTCCCCCTGTAGCTCCGCCCGCTGACAGCTGCAGACCCCGCCACCTGTCCCTGCGCCAGACACACACACAGTGACACAGAGCAAAAAATTCCTACAAAAAGGGGAAGTAGTTTCCACACACCCATTCAGGGTCCCTTGACAGCAATTTCTCCGGTAGTGGCTGAGGCACTGGGGATATTTATAGGAGGCGGAAGGGAATAAATTGTGTTTACTCAACTTTGTTCTCTGTAAAGAGAGACATGGAAAAGGACTCATTCCACTCCAAAGCAGGAAGAAGTGATGAAGACACACACAAAGACACACACACTGACCATGTCTCCTTCCAGCCATCAGGAGTTCGGACTCACACAAGCCTATGCTCTTTGATGAGTGTCTACAAAATCTGGTACATGTCTCTAGTGTATCTCTCATTTCTGTGTCCAGGTAGTCAAAATCCTCATTCTGACAAAGCTCGAAGTTGTATCTTCTCCGTGATGCCCAGTTGCCTCTCCTTTAATTCAGGCTGTTTGTCAGACAGATGTCTAAAATCAGGCTTTCTTACCCTGAAGTTGTGGCTCGTTCCCCACCAGGCAACCTGTGGAACTCTTTGCCAGAGGATGCTCTGAAGACCAAGTCTATAAAACGGTTCAAAAAAGAACTAGAGAAGTTCATGGAGGATAGGTCCATCAATGGCTGTTAGCCAGGCTGGGCAGGGATGGTGTCCCTAGCCTCTGTTTGCCAGAGGCTGGGAATGGGCGACAGGGGACGGATCACTTGATGATTACCTGCCCTGTTCATTCCCTCTGGGGCACCTGGCACTGACCACTGTTGGAAGACAGGATACTCGGCTAGATGGGCCTTTGCTCTGGCCGTTCTTATGTTCAGGCATTCCTGAGAGAGTCTCAATTTTATTGATACTGTCTGTGAATTGTTTGTATTTTAGGCCATTATTTGCCCGGCTTATTTTGCGGTAGCCACCTCTCCAGTCCACAGACAACCAGTGACTTCATTGGCTATTGGATCACACCTTAAGACCCAACAGACAAGTTCTACCTTGCTCGAGGTCTCCCTGCCGGTTTATCTCCATTGGGTGAAACCTCCATGCAAATCCTTGACCCAGAGGGTTCTGCAGACAGGGCCCACCATCCTATCCTCACAGAGCACCAGCTCCTGTCATTACATGTGCGCTGAGCTGAGCGCACGGTCTCTCTGGGGTGGAAGGGGGACCCCTGTCCCCGAGGGGACATCGCCATGTACTGAGCGCTCACCCCCCTCATCTCTTACACCCGCCCTGGGGAACCCGCATGCAAATCCCTGCCCCTGGGGGTTCCTGGTTAAATCCAAACCCCTGGTTCTAGGAGCCTCAGTCTCCCTTTTCTTTTAGTCTCTCCCCAGACACAAAACTGCCCGGTCCTGCCCACTGGGGAGTTCCCCTCATTGTGTGAAAAGGAGAATGAATTCGCTGTTGCTTATCCTTTCCCTGTTCTCTGCCCCCTGCCTGTGAGTGTCTCTGGGAGAGCGGGGGGGGGGGGGGAGGGAATTAGGGACAGATCCAGGAATTCAACAAGTGGCTAATTGTTCCCTTGCTTTGTTCAGCTTTTCCCAGGTGTCCTCTCTCAGGTGCAACTGGTCCAGGCCATCCCGGGAGCGGTGAGGCTCGGAAAGACCCACACAGTGACCTGCGCTGTCTCCGGGGTCTTCATTCATACTCATTAATACCCCTGAATTGGGCTGGAGTAGCTGGGAGAGGTTTATCCCTGTAACGGGGGCACAGGCTACGGCCCGTCTCTCCGATGCCGAGTCACCATCTCTGCAGACGCTTCCAAGAACCAGGTCTCCCAGTCCCGTCAGCTGCTCCCGCTGACCGCCGCAGACACCCCCACCTATTACTACGCCAGTGACCCAGAGCAAAACAGGGACTGATACAAACAGGGGAAGCCTTTTCTAAACAAAACAGAGAATCCGGAGTAGCAGAGATCACTCAACCCCCAGGACACACAAGCTCTGAACTGAACTACGAGGAACATACAGAAGGACAGATATTTTTTAAAAGCACCTGTTTTCTCAGGAAATGTTTTCCCTTTGAGCTTCCCCAACAATCATGTTCCCAACAATCATGTTAAATTTAGTGACTGGGACCCTGGGAGGAGGGTTCGCTTTCCTCTGCAGTGGTGGGGGGAGGGATGATTTGCTGGCTGGGATCATCTGGGCAAGTCTCACCTAACAGAAGAATGGCCAGACTGGGTCAGACCAATGGTCCATCAAGCCCAGTATCCTGTCCTCCGACAGTGGCCAATGACAGGTGTCCCAGAGGGAATGAACAGAACAGGAAATCACCAAGTGATCCACCCCCTGTCGCCCATTTCCAGCTTCTGCCTAACAGAAGCTAGGGACACCCTCCTTGCCCGCAATCAGTTCCGGGCCATTGTATCGGCCTTGGGCATTGTTGGCACCTCTGACTCTTCTATCCTCTACCTGGGACACAAAACAGGCTAGTTGGCTGTGGGCTGAAATGCTTTAGTTGTTTAACTAAAATCACTGTGTACAATACCAGGATATCTGGGGGGAAATCAGTGGCCTGTGATACCCAGGAGGTCAGACCAGATAAGCTAATAGTCCTTTCTAGCTTCAAAAGCTACGAATCCAGGGACTAAATCAAAATATGTGTTTGTGTTAAAATTGTAAGAGGAATAGACACCGAAAGCTACATAGAAACAGACACGCAAAAGCTCTTTTGGCTGAAAGAAAATGTAGTGCAATACAAATAGAGGGAAATGTGTGTGTGCGTTTGTGTGAGAGAGAATGTCTGTGTGTCTCTCTCTGTGTGTGTCTCGCTGAGTGTATTTCCCTTTGGGGATCGTCTGTGGGCATGTCTGTGTGTCCCTCTGTGCACTAAGAAAGTCTCTTTTCCTCCTGCAGGGGCTGCAGTTTCTCTCGCTCGCTCGCGCTCTTCCCCAAGGGCCAATTCATCATCATTTTGACCCTGAGAAAGGGGAGCGGCCAGCCACTCCGTGAAATTAGCCAACGGCTGTGCTCTTGCTATTGATTTTTACCTGGAAGTGCTCAGACAAGTTTACAAGCAGCTGTATACAAATGAAGATAACGCATGTCCCACAGAAAAAAGGGAAGCACTGCTTCGAAAGGCCGCTCGTGGAGGGGCCATGATGGCGCCCCCGGGTGCTTCCCCGAGGTGCCTCCCCTCTGTCCCCTCCCCCTGCCCCCCCTTCGACTTCCCTGGCTCCAGTCGCCTCACATTAGAGTGTCCTGCCACTAAAAGAGGTTCAAAGATAGACAGAAGCAGATAGAGAGGAAGATAATTTATCTGAAGTGTCTACGGAAATAGGATTAGGGTTATCGTTAAGGTTAAAATTAGAGGTTAGGGGCTCAGCTAGTGTTAGCATTAGGATTTAAGGTGAGCATCAGGTTAGGAGTAGGGTTAGAGTTAAGGGAAGGTGATGATTAAGATTTAGGATAAGGTTAGGTTATAAAATGAGATACATGTTTTGATTACTCTTTCAGTTTCGATGGGGTGTAGAGTTGGGTTTAGGGTTATGGCTGGGGTTAGGGTTCCCTGAAGGATATTAAACAAAGATGTTGGGGGGGGGGCAACAGACCCAACATGATCCTGCCTGGTCATAGGAACAGGGTTGGTATGAGAAAATGATAAGGACGGTGAAATTAAGGCATTAAACGCTTATCTATGTCTATCACCCACTGCTACACCCCGCACGCAATGAAAATATTCCACTCGTGCTGCAGGAATCCGCTGCGGGAGTCATCAGTAGAATTTCTGAGACCGTACGTGGATTGAACTGTAAATTATTTTATAACATTTCTCAGTTCAAAGTCCCTGTGCACGGTTCATCAACCAACCGGTAAACCAGTAACCCTTCTGGGCAGGTTATGCCACAATATTCCACTAGGGGCATCTTGGAACCATCCTCCTAAACCTGGGGGGCTGGCCCCTGTCAGAGAGAGATGGACTCCAGGTCAGACCCTCTCCTGCAGGTGTAGTCTCTGTTTGTTTTTCACACCGTGAGGAACTCTGCCCAGGGAGCAATGGGGAGGGGTGAGATGGCCCGGATTTCTGTGACTCCCAGACTGGCTTTCAAGACAAAATGTAAGTAAAATTTAAGATGAATTATACAGAGAATGAGGGAAAGGAGGGAAGAAAGTCTCCCAACTCAGTTCCCTGAAACAGACACACACACTGACCTAGCCTCACTCAACTCCGGTTGTTTGGGGCCAGCAAGGACGCTAGTGAGCGCGCGCGCACGCGGCAGGACTCCTTCTTTCCAGTAGAGGGCAGCACTCAAACACTCAACCCTTCTGTTTGAAACCCGACTACAGACTAGTGTATTTCTGAGCATTGTGCGCCTAGGATCCCAGCCCTTCTTCTTATCAACCCCAGCAGCTGCATCTCCCCTTGATCCCCAGTTCCCTCCATTCTCCCGAAACCGGTTCGTCAGTCTGTGGTACCTAAAACCAGCCTCCCTATCCCTGCAGTTGCGGCTCATCAGAAATTCCCAGGAGAGTCTCATTTCTGTTGGCAGTGTCTCTGTATAGTTTCTATTTACTTTAAATGCCCAGCACATTTTGCAACAGCTGCTACTTCAGTGGAGAGACACCCACTGACTTCGACGGACTTTTGGTCACAGTCTAAGAGAGAAACGGGCTGTGTGACTCTCCCACCCACCAGGCACCACGGCCGAGCTTGACTGCTCCCTGTTGGTTTATCTCCATTTAGTGATCTTGCCCGCACGGAGTTCTCCCCAGTCCCAGTCCAGGGCCCCGCCCTCTGGACCCTCTTTCCTACCCTCACACAACCACCTCCTGTCATTCTAGACGTGCTGAGCCGGGCACAGTGCCTCTCTGTGCTGTAAAGGGGACATCGCCATGTACTGAGCGCCCACCCCCTGCCGTCTCTTATACCCGCACTGGGGAACCCGCAAGCAAATCCCTCCCCCGGGCGTTCCTCTTTGAATACCAACCCCTGGTTCTATAGGAACCTCAGTCTCTCCCCAAACACAGAACTGCCCTGTCCTGCCCGCTTCCCTCATTCTATGAAAACGAGAATGAAATCTCTGTTGCTTTTCCTTTCCCTGTCCTCTGCCCCCACCTGTGAGTGTCTCTGGGAAAGGAGGGAAATAGGGGCCGATCCATAGATTTGTTCCGTGATTCACGCATCTCTCTTTGTTTCCCTTTCCCAGGTGCAGCTGGTCCAGCCCGGCCCGGGAGCGGGGAATCCCGGAGGGACCCTCAGTATCATCTGTAAAGTCTCTGATGTCTCCGTCAGCAGCTGATACTGGAGCTGGGTCCGGCAGCCCCCTGGGAAAGGGCTGGAGTGGATGGGGTTTATCCGACATACAGTTAGCGGGGGGACCACAGAATATAACTCGGTTTTCAAACCTCGGGTCACCATCACCAGGGACACCTCGAAGGACGAAGCTTATCTCCAGCTCCGCTCCCTGGCAGCTGCAGACACCGCCACCTATTACTGTGGGCGGCACACACAGTGACATAGGGCAAAGCCGGGAATGACACAAAAAGGGGAAGCGCCAACCGACTGGAACATCAGTCAGTGCTCTAGGGGATGAGGCAGACGGGGTGTTTCCCACAGTGGGGTCTAAGGAGCCAACCCCGTTTCTGCACGTTCCCACCCCCTCCCTGCTCCTTTCACCAAGGGATTTTAAACACTCCGCTTCCTTCTGCTGCTCACTGAAATGTGCACCCAGAGACTCACTTAGACAGGGGTGGTGGTTTGGGCTACCTCGTATTTTGGGCACTTATCCTCCTAAACCTGGGGGGCTGGCCCCTGTCAGAGAGAGAGATGGATTCCAGGTCACATCCTCTCCTGCAGTTTTAGTCTCTGTTTGTTTTCACACCTTGGGAATTTGAGAGCCTGGAGACACACCTTGGTCCAAATCTCCAGAAGATGCTCAGCGCCTGTTATCTCTCATTGGCCTCAGCTGGCGCTGCGGGCGGGTGTCACCCCTGGGAACCAGGCTCTCTGTGTCTCCAGGCTCCTAAATTCAGAAGCCACTTCAGGACATGTTGTCCCAGGAGAGTAAATTTCATCATCACTCAGCACACACTGAGCTCTATCTGAAATCAATGGGAGCTGCAAGTGCCCCATACCTCCGAAAATCAGCCCTGAGTTACTTGTCCTGAGAGGAAAGATGGCTTGAGGGAAAAAGAACTCAGTACATGCCATAGCCACCCCTGCTCCTCCAATGGAAACACACCAGCTCATTTCACTGGGCTTCAGATCACGCCCTAAGACACGAAGGGGATGTGGGACTCCCCAGTTCACCAGACAGGACCCCCAAGACACAGGCCCTCCAATTAGTTTATCCCACCTCGGTGAGACCACCTGCCATTTCCCAGACCCGCGGGTTCTCCTGAGTCCCAGCCCAAGACCCTGTGCTCAGTACCCGGCTTCCTACCCTCACACAGTCTCCTCCTGCTTACAGGTGCGCTCAGCTGAGCGGGTCTCTCCGGGGTGTAAAGGGAGCACCTGTCCCCGACGGGACATCGCCATGTACTGAGCGCTCACCCCTGTCATCTCTTATACCCACCCTGGGGAACCTGCATGCAAATCCCTGCCCGAGGGTTCCTGTTTAAATCCAAACCCCTGGTTCTAGGAGCCTCAGTCTCTCCCCAGACACAGAACTGCCTGGTCCTGCCGGCTGGGGAAGTTTCCCTAATTGCATGAAAACAAGAATGAAATCTCTGCTTCTTTTCCTTTCCCTGTTCTCCGCTCCCATCTGTGAGTGTCTATGGGGCAGAAGGGGCATTTGGAACAGATCCATAGATTCTTTCGGTGGCTAATTCTTTCCTTGTATTTTTTCCCCAGGTGTCTTCTCTCAAGTGCAGCTGGTCCAGTCCGGCCCAGGAGCGGTGAAGCCAGGAGAGACCCTTACCCTGACCTGTGCTGTCTCCGGGTTCTCCATCACTACGCAGCATTACCATTGGCACTGGCTTCGGCAGCCCCCCGGGAAAGGGCTGGAGTGGATGGGGTATGTGTATCCATACAATGGCGGGGAGACAGGCTACGCCCCGTCTCTCCAAGGCCGAGTCACCATCTCTGCAGACACCTCGAAGAACCAGGTCTCCCTGCAGCTCCGCTCGCTGACGGCTGCAGACACCGCCGCCTGTTACTGCGTCAGGAGGAGAAATTACACAGTGCCACAGAGCAGAGCAGGGACTGGTACAGAAAGGAGAAGCTGTTTCCAGGCAGACATTGAGAGCCCTTTAATGCACCATGCATTGCATCAGCTCTCTGCCCCGTAGGAATGTAAAACGGAGTTTTATCTCTCGCTCTCTCTCTCCTGTGTTCCATCGACGTTCTGACACATTTCACTCAGGGCCCAGCGGTCAAATCTCAGTATAAAACCGCTCTGACAGGTGCGCATTGCCACATTTGGAGGTGAAACTATCAAAAATTTTAATCCGGGTTAGAACTGGCAAAGAGCCAGCCTTCCATTTATACCCAGAACTGGATTTGAATTGACTTCAGCTTGTTGGTGCGGAGCTGCTGGGAAAATCTGACCCGGGCCCTGACTGTCACCAGGGGAGCTGTGCGCTGAGAAATTGCTAAGCTCTGGCCCGCGTTCAGGTGACTACATGGGACGGGAGCACAAACTTGTGTAGAACCCGGGTGGGTAGTGAACCCTGGAATACGAGCGATTCAGAGAATGTGGTTCCTGGTGTGGGTTAGAAGGGGGAGAACATAGGAGCTCTCTCATGGCCAGGTGCGGGATCTCCCTGGAGAGTGGAGCAGACTGGGCCATGTAAAGTCTGAGTCTTCAGTCAGTTACATACTGCGGGCTACGACCGCTCCGGGCCTATTTACCTAGACTTCGCGGGCAGGGAAGTGGGACAAAAACCTCAAATGCTAGGGTGAGCTGTAATACCTGGTAGTCAACAATTCTTTCTTATCTGCCTAGAGGGCAGCACGGTGAACACGAGCCGGTCCATCAAAAGAACCAAAGACTTGTGACCAGGGGGTTTAACAAAATCCCACATGCCTAGGAATTGCAACAGCCCAGAGCGAGCTCTGCAGACTGCTGGAGCCAAAGTGGCGATTCCTGGGTGCCGGAGGCCACTTATCTCTAATAAACAAACACTGTGGATGGAAGAGTCTTGGGGTTTCTCTCCTGGCTGCCTTTAGGTGGGAATGTAGAGGAGACTGGGGTGGGGGTAGGGATGGGGGAGGGGAGAGAGAGAGAAATAATATATTTGATATGTTAAGTCAGTGGTTCTCCAACCTTTTTACTGGTGACCCCTTTCACATAGCAAGCCTCTGACTGCGACCCCCCTTATAAATTAAAAACACGTTTTTATCTATTTAACACCATTATAAATGCTGGAGGGAAAGCGGGGTTTGGGGTGCATGTTGACAGCTCGTGACAACCCCCCCCCCCCATGTAATAACCTCGCGACTCCCTGAGGGGTCGTGACCGCCAGTTTGACAACCCCTGTGTTAAGTGAAAGGGATTGAGGTGCAGGGTTAGTTAGATTAAAGAATGGGGTATAAATTAGGGCTGTCGAGATTAAAAATTAATTGCAATTAATCGTGCAATTAAAAAAATTGTGATTAATCGCACGATTAATCATGCTTTTTAACAATAATAGAATAACTTTTGTTTTAAATATTTTTGGGTGTTTTCTAAATTTTCAAATATATTGATTTCAATTACAACAGAATACAAAGTGTACAGTGCTCACCTTATATTTATTTTTATTACAAATGTTTGCACTGTAAAAAAATGTTTTTTTCAATTCACTTAATACAAGTACTGTGGTGAAATCTCTTTATCATGAAAGTTGAACTTACAAATGCAGAATTATGTGCAAAACATAACTGCATTCAAAAATAAAACAATGTAAAGCTATAGCGCTTACAAGTTTACTCAGTCCCACTTCTTGTTCAGCCAATCACTCACACAAACTTGTTTGGTTACAATTTGCAGGAGATAATGCTGCGGGCTTCTTGTTTACAGTGTCACCTGAAAGTGAGAACAGGCATTCGCATGGCACCGTTGTAACTGGTGCTGCAAGATATTTATGTGTCAGACATGCTAAAGATTTTTATGTCCCTTCATGCTTCAACCGCCACTCCAGAGGACATGCCTCCATGCCGATGTCGGGTTCTGCTCAGTAGGGATCCAAAGCAGTGGGGACTGGCGCATGTTCATTTTCATCATCTGAGTCAGATGCCACCAGCAGGAGGTTGATTTTCTTTTTTGGTGGTTCTGGTTCTGCAGTTTCCACATCAAAGTGTTACTCTTTTTAGACTTCTGAAAGCATGCTCCTGTGACGAAGTGGGACTATTCTTAATGTTTCCTCTGAATAGTGTGGGGGTGCCTCAGTTTCCCCTAGGCAGTTCTTAAGTATCTAGGGGGTGGGGTAAGGGTGTATGATCATTGCAGAGCCCTAGAGGGCAGGGGTGTGCAGGGGTCTGGACACAGAGAATGGCCGACACCCTGTTTCCTGGCAACTAATGGCCTGGGCCCTTCCCCCCCCTGCAAGGTGAGAGCTAAAGGGTTGGAGAACAAAGGAATCAGGTGACCTCCTGGCCCAGGAAAGGAACAAAGCCCAGAGGAGGAGGGGCTGGAGGGGGTTTCAGTTTGGGGCTGGCTGGGACATGGAGTGAAGTGCAGACGTGGTTATCTGGCTCACTGCCCCCCAGAATGGACCCAGCTGAGGGGTCCCGTTCTCTGCACCTGCAAGCTCTGTTTTAGACCATGTTCCTGTCGTCTAATAAACCTTCTGTTTTACTGGCTGGCTGAGAGTCACGTCTGACTGCGAAGTTGGGGTGCAGGACCCTCTGGCTTCCCCAGGAGCACCGCCTGAGCGGACTCGCTGGGGGAAGCACACGGAGAGGCAGAGGATGCTGAATGCTCCGAGGTCAGACCCAGGAAGGTGGAAGCTGTGTGAGCTGTGTGTCCTGAAGACAGTCTGCTCACAGAAAGGCGACTACCCCAGAGTCCTGACTGGCTTCATGGGGAGCAGTTCCAGAGCATCGCCCAGGGACTCCGTGACAGCTCCACACCTCTTCCCTCTCAGATTTTGGAAGGCACTTCAGATTCTGAAACCTTGGGTTGAGTAGATATTTTTAGAAATCTCACATTGGTACCTTCTTTGCATTTTGTCAAATCTGCAGTGAAAGTGTTCTGACATGCTGTGTCATTATCCCAGACAGCTATAACATGCAATATATGGCAGAATGCGGGTAAAACAGAGCAGGAGCCATACAATTCTTCCCCAAGGAATTCAGTCAGAAATTTAATTAACACATTATTTTTTTAACTAGCATCATCAGCATGGAAGCATGTCCTCTAGAATGGTGGCCAAAGCATGAAGGGGCATAGGAATGTTTAGCATATCTGGCAGTTAATACCTTGCAATGCTGGCTACAAAAGTGCCATACAAATGCCTGTTCTCACTTTTTGGTGACACTGTAAATAAGAAGCAGGCAGCTGTATCTCACATCAATGTAAACAAACTTGTTTGTCTTAGCAATTGACAGAACAAGAAGTAGGACTGAGCAGACTTGTAGGCTCTGAAGTTTTATATTGTTTTGTTTTTGAGTGCAGTGTTTTGGCTGCATTTCCTTTTCATTATGACAGCTTTCCCAGGTGTGTATTTCTTCTGGGGAAAAAAAAAAAAACAATGGAGATATCCTTGGATTTAAATGATCTGTGGTAGTATTAGAATCAGAATTATTATCAGCAGCAGTAGTAAAAGAAGCAACAATTATATTAGCAGCAGCAAGGTTAGAAAATATTGTTTTTGGTATCAGCATCTGGATTGTCAATGTGCTTTTACATCCTCAGGGGCTGGGGCTCAGGCTCAGCTTGTGGAGTCCAGAGGAGACATTAAGAAGCCCGGACAATCTCTGCGCCTCACCTGTAAAGGCTCCTGCTTTGATTTCAGCCAGGCCAGGATGCACTGGGTCTGACAAGCTCCCGGGAAGGGACTGGAGTGGGTGTCTGTGATTTTCTTCGATGGGAGTAAGGAATATTACGCCGCTTCTGTCAAAGGGCGATTCTCCACCTCCAGGGACAACTCCCAAAACCTGGCTGATTTAGACATGAGCAGCCTGAAGCCAGAGGACACCGCCCGGTTACTGTGCAGCTTCACAGTGAGTGAAACACGGTCTGAGCTGAGACAAAAACCCATCCTCTGCAATGGGATGAGGTTGTTGCTCTTGGTAGAGCTCAAGGTCTGTGAGTTACAATGAGCAGCCCAGTGAGGACAAAGGAAAGTGAACAAAGAAATCAGGCATTTAATGTCATTTTCTTTCTTGAGGTGAATTGCCAAGCAGCCCAGATAAGAATTCAGATCTTTAATCACAGACATTAATACGTTTATAAACACTCCTTCTGTCACACCCCAATGACCCCCTCCCTCAGGTCCTTTGGGGAAGCAGAATAGTATTATATGATGCTAATGCTGTTGCAAGCATGGCAAAGTATTTTGGGAAGCGTTAAATGTGTGAGTGTGGAATGAATGGTTCCTTTGCAGGTTATGAGAGGCTAAGGGGCGGGGGTGAAGAAGAAAATAGTAGTGAATGGGTTAACTCGACACTTTGCACTCCTGCAAGGCCCGAGGTAAGACTCTGACTCCAGCCAGCTCAAGGCCGCAGTGCACATCTGACTCTCAGCTGCCTGCCAAAAGAGGAGGACAGCTCAGATTCCACCCCAACCAGCCGTGAGAAAGGAGAGTTGCTGAACGAACTGCAGGGACCACGAAAAGGAGTGAGACAGCGAAGGCCAGCAAGGAAAAAACTTGACTGTCTCATGACCCTGAAGCTGGTATGTTTTGGGGAAAGCTGAAGATGCCACAGAAGGCTGGTTGGAACTGGTACACTGAGCATGGGGAACAAAGGTCTCCGAAGGGGACGCTCCCAACAGACCCCAGGACTTAAAAACCCTCCCAAGAGCGGAAGCAAGTTGGAGGTCACAGCGGATCCCCGAACAACCTGTGCACAGGACAGAACTCCCGTCCACCCTTCCCCTTCTTCTTCCTACTGTGGAAGTATAACATTGTATAAGGGGACATGCTGGATACATTGTATATGAGAGGGCATGCCAAAACATGTTACAAAGTATCTGAGGGAGCACACGTAGGGACAGTTAGCTTTTGAATGGAGAAGCAATTAAGACAGAGCCAGCACGTCTAAGAAGCAGGCATCAGAATGGAAGGTGTGAAGGGCAATTAGTTAAGTTAACTGGAAGCTGTTAAAGGAGATTGTTAAGGGTGGCAGGTAATTGAAGATACGTGACTGGTCTCAGGGATCTCGAGGGGTGGTGACTAAAATCTTTTTCTTCTTTTGTCTGTAACTTCTCTGTAACTTGTTCTTTAAAAAACTGTATAAATTAAAAGACACAAGCCCTACTCGGGGGGCTCACTTCTAAATGTATTAGCAGAGCAGCTTTGCTAATAAAACAGAGTGGTCTGATAAATTGTGAGTCTGAGTCAAACTTTGACACTACATTACACCCAGGCCTGGCCAGCCTCGGGTAGTGCGTGTGTGAATATGAAAGTGGGTTAGGGCTTGGGGCACTAACGCTTTCTTCCTTCCTCTGAGTGACATGGGGAGCACCCATCACTCTCCACTATTATTTTATTATTTTATCATTCTATTAATAAAGCTTCAAAATTTAGTCACTTGGTGTGTTCCGGTATCTCCCCCTGATCAATCCTGCAGTCTCAGATTGACCGCCTGAGACCTTAGGCAGATTGGTCACAGAAATATGCCACACTTCCATCTCCACTCTCCAGACACACTGTTGCACCCCATTCCCACCCCCACCCCCCCCAAATAGAGAAACACTGTGATGTTCTGATTCAGTGTAGCATCCTATCCCATAGACCATGCTGCCTCCTTTGTGTGACTTTACACTCATTGATAGCACTGCTGGGGGGATATTCTAACAAAGTGACCCAATTCTGTTAGTGCTTAGAATGAATTCAGGGCCTAATGTTCAGGCTCACATTAGTGCAAACGGAATGGAGTAGGAATATGAATCTGAATGGAAGAGGAATATCCATGTGAACAGAAATGGGACTGTGAACATGAAAGAGAATAGGAACCTGAGTGTGACTGTAAGTGGGAATGAGAGTGTGTGGTTGAACAGGAAGGGGAATATAAACAGGAATACCATTGTTAATAGGAATATCAGCTTGTTTGTGAATGAGTATGGAGATATTGAATGAGACATGGGTGACAGTGGGTGTCAAGGCTGAGTCCCCCCTCTGGCACTTTGAGTTCAGAAATTGGGGGCCCTCAAGGATTTTAAAAATTAATACTGGCCACTCCAGGTTTGTCCCAAGGTTACAGCTTCTCTCTGACTTTGGCTTGCTAAATGGTGCCACCATCCAAATGCAAAAAAAAAAAAACAAAAAAACCCTTGAACCCAGGAAGGAGCACCTGGGAATTCCTCCCTGTGAGATACCCTCAAGCCCTTTCACCCTGCTCCATGGAAGAACTGAGAAACAAAACAAAGGAAATGAGCTGTAGCTCACGAAAGCTTATGCTCAAATAAATTGGCTAGTCTCTAAGGTGCCACAAGTACTCCTTTTCTTTTTGTGAATACCGACTAACATGGCTGTTACTCTGAAACCTTACATATATGGGGGTTTCAAATAAGTAATTCTAGGTATGATCTGATGTCTTCTCATACCTGGCTTAAAACCTTACACACCATTCCTGCTTATAGCACTGCTGCTCCATGTCTCCTTCCCTGGAGAACAACAGACAAAGGGGAAGGTTTTTTTCCCCATTTTAAAATGTTCTTGCCTCCCATTGGCTCTTTTGGTCAGGTGCCCACTCCTTTTCCTTTACCTGGGGAACTTTGTTAACCCTTCACAGGTAAAGAAAGCAGAGAACAGCCACCAAGAGGGATTTTATATCATTATATATATATATATATATATATATATATATATATAGCATTGAATTATAGCACAAACCTCCTGTCAGTTTTAACCCTTCCGTTCCCGGGGAATGTGTCTCCCCTTTCTGCCAAGAGCCCTGCTGGGCCTGCGGTGCAGAGATCCCTTGCTTCATCTGTGAACTCCAATCCGGAGTGAGCAGGGATTTCCCTAGACCCCTCCTAGAGGGGGTGTACACCCCCCTGAATTTCCGCAGTACACCCCACCCCCAATTTTTGAATTAGTTACATGCAGTGTTGCCAATTTAGTGATTGTTTGGACATTGGAATTGAAATTAATACATTAATACAAACTTTAAAAGCAGATACAATGTATGATAAAATACATGTATCTGAAAAAGTGTAATAGATTTCAAAAGTATGAACATAGACTAGCTTCCTTATACAGCTGTTGTTCTTTATGACAATATCAGTGCATTCATTTTGGCAATGTTGCCAACCTAACAATTTAAAAGTATGATTTCTAAGCAAAGTCTAAATGAGCTCTCCCTGACAGCTAGTGATGAGCTGGGGGTTGGGGAAAATTAGGACTAGATTGTATTTACATTCACGCCTAATCTACCTAGGTATCCAGCAAACAGAGCTGTGTTGCCCAAGTGATAGATTATGGCTGACGTTGGGTTACAAATCACTTGAATGCGGGGGTAATGAAATGTTGTTATTCTTATTGTCTGAGTAAAGGGCAGTAGAACTGTACTTGGCCTGTGCTGGTTGACGGCATCAAGAGAGAGGGTGGGGACAGGTGTTTTGCTTGATGGTCTGCCTGAGCCACAAGTACGATTTGACCTGCCCCTCTCCACTGTTTAAAGACAGAGCTGATTAGGCTCCGCAGATAGTCTTTTGGTTTGTTAAGTGATCTTAACTACAGCTGAAATCACTGATAATCAGGTCTTAAGTGCTCAGACCTGCTGTGGGACAGTGTTTCTGTGGAAGAGACGGCCCAGCCTGCACCAGCAGCGAGGTCCCCCACTGAGAGCTCGGCTGAAATCACTGAGATCTGGTGGAACCTCAAGAGACCGACTCGCAGAGGTCACAGTGGCAGGTGGCAGCAGAAGGTGACGGTGCAGGGCCATTGGCAACAGAGCGGTGGAGTGAACAGTGGCACAACAAACAGCAGTGGCCAGAGCGAACAGTGAGCAGCTGGAGGAATGAGCAAGGTGCCTTCTTGCCCCCCACCTGGGAGATGAACTCACCTGAAAGCACCTCTGAACTCTGAGTCACCACTGGGGACAACACCGGTGAGTGGGGTGCGGTGGAGGGAAAAGCGAGGGGCACGTTAAATAAACATTTGTTTGTTGGACTATATTTTGGTGACTTTGCTCCAGAATGCTAGATCTGTGACTGGGGATGGAAACGTATAGACATCTACTTCCTAGTAGGCCAAGATTTTTAAAACGCATTATTTGCCAAGGTCATTATCTCATATCGTTGCTATCTTGAGAGGTCATTATGTCAGAGAGTTTCTGTACTAATCATGTTTATTATTATAATTAATTTTTACATAAGAATGGCCATACTGGGTCAGATCAATGGTCCATATAGCCCATGCTCTGGAGTTTGCTGGTTGGGGCGCTCGAGGTTTGCAAGTCTGTGGAAATCTGTGAAGAGACGCAGATGACATTTAAGCAACAGACCCTCCCCACTGGGGGCACTGGTTGTGTCAATAAGCTAGGGAGTCTTAGGGGTAGGCGTCACATAAGGGTCTAAGGCTCCTTATTATAATGCCTGCCTATAGTTGCCTGGCTCCCAATGGAAACTACAGCCTTGAATTAGGCACCCTGACTCTCTACCCCACTCTGCCTGAGCCAGAGACTGGACTTCAAGGTAGATTTTTTATCTCCCAGGGGAGGGCCCAGGCACTGGGCTAGAAGGTTTTCCAGGGAACTCATCTCCACAGAACTGCGTTTGAAGTTGTTCCACTTGATACAGAATAGCGTCTTTGTGACGAAAGAGCACGACAGAGTGTGAATGAGAATGACTGTATAGCCCGGTGATCAGGGAGGCCTATCTTCAAGTCCCTGTGCTCTAATTAGTATTTAAATGTTATATTAATAGGTTCCAGGCAGTGTAGTGTGGTGGCTAGAACACTGGGCGGGCTGGGGCTCAGGGGACCTGGCTTTTCTTCTAACAGCCAACTGACCTCGGGCAAATCAGTTTCCCTCTCTGTGCTTCAGTTTATCCACCTCTAAAAAGGGGACACTAAAGCTCACCCTCCGTTCCCAAATCTCCGTTTCAGAGCTGAGAATTTTTATCCAAGGCTGCAATGACTCTGGAGCTAAATTTTACAGCATGGATAAATTCAGTGCTTTAGATTAGCTTGAACATGTTTCTATTCACTCAAAAAGAAAAGGAGGACTTGTGGCACCTTAGAGACTAACCAATTTATTTGAGCATAAGCTTTTGTGAGCTGCAGCTTAGTCTCTAAGGTGCCACAAATCCTTCTTTTCTTTTTGCGAATACAGACTAACACAGCTGCTACTCTGAAACCTGTTTATTCACTCAGGGTCTCACACCATGTCATGGTATGTCCCACGGGCAGGACAAGGGACCTCAGTGAGAAATCAAGTCAGAGCCTCCGGGGCTCCATTTTAAGAGCACGAATATGCAAATCGAGTAATTGCACTCCCTGCTTAAAGCCTGCGGTTCCCCTTGGAGTGGAGAACCTGCAGCTCCCAGTGTCGGTGCAGAGACCGGCCCAACCCTGCAGGAAACTTTTCCCAGCAAACACACATGATGCTTTGGCTGCATTTCCTTCTCATTGCGACAGCTTTCCGAGGTGTGTATTTCTTCGGGGGGGCGGGGGGACAAAACAAGGGAGATGCCCTTGGATTTAAATGATCTGTGGTAGTATTCTAATCAGAATTATTATCAGCAGCAGTAGTAAAAGAAGCAACAATTATATTAGCAGAAGCACAGTTAGTAAATATTGTTTTTGGTATCAGCATCTGGATTGTCAATGTGCTTTTACGTCCTCAGGGGCTGGGGCTCAGGCTCAGCTCGTGGAGTCCGGAGGAGACATTAAGAAGCCCGGACAATCTCTGCGCCTCACCTGTAAAGGCTCCGGCTTTGATTTCAGCCAGGCCGGGATGCACTGGGTCCGACAAGCTCCCGGGAAGGGACTGGAGTGGGTCTCCGTGATTTTCTTCGATGGGAGTAAGGAATATTACGCCCCTTCTGTCAAAGGGCGATTCTCCACCTCCAGGGACAACTCCCAAAACCTGGCCTATTTAGACATGAGCAGCCTGAAGCCAGAGGACACCGCCCGGTATTACTGTGCAGCGTCACAGTGAGTGAAACCCGGTCTGAGCTGAGACAAAAACCCGTCCCCTGCGATGCCATGAGGCTGTTGCTCTTGGTGTCGCTCAAGGTCTGCGAGTTACAATGAACCCAGTGAGGACAAAGGAAAGTGAACAAATAAATCAGGGGGTTCATGTCATGTTCTTTCTCACGGGGAATTGCCGAGCAGCCCAGATAAGAATCCAGATGTTTAATCACAGACATTAATACGTCTATAAACACTCCTTCCATCTGCTCTCCCCGGACACACTGTTGCGCCCCATCCCCCCACCCCAAAAGAGAGAAAAGCTGTAACAGATTTTGGGCCCCTCACCGGGGCATCTCCACCCTTCGCACGGGGTTACTGCCTTTATCCCCTCAAGGCCGCCGGGAGGCCGGGGAACGATCACAGCCCCTGGTTCGGGGCGGGGGACTGAGGCAGAGAGAGATGGAGGCCGGGGTGTGGAAATGGGCCATTCAGGGTCCGGGCGGGGCTGGGGGGCAGAGATCACCCGGCGCCGGAATAAACCCCGCTCCGCTGCGCCCGGGGATGTGGCCCCGCCGGGACTTTCCAAAGCGGCTCCTGGGTTGTTTTCACGAACTGCCCTGTGGAAATCCCAGGCCGGACCCTCCGCTGGTGTCAGTGGGTGGAGCCGAGACATCCCAACCCCCAATAAAGTGCCCCCATGTCACAGAGTCACCATGGAGATAAAAGACCCCGCCCCTCAGCCCCCTCTGGCATCACTCAGCCCAGCGCTGGCCCGCAGGGCATTGGGGACAGTCACGTGACCAAGGGTTCTACGATCGGTGTCACTGGACTCGCTGAGTCAGGCTGATGCAGAGGGAGAAGCTGAGCCGGGCTGCAGAGAGCTCGGGGCCAGGAAGGACAGAGAACCCGGCTCCCACTGAATAAGACAGGACCCAATACTCCCCTGATCCTTCTGTGAATGTCCCAACGTTAATTCAGTTTAGGGTTAAGATTCTCTCTACATTCTGGATTAGAGGTAAAGTTTTGAGATTACTAATAGGGTTAAATTTAGAGACACAAGTATAAATTTGTGGTACAGGTTACAGTTAAAGGTTACAGAGTAGCAGCCGTGTTAGTCTGTATTGGCAAAAAGAAAAAGAGGACTTGTGGCATTTTACAGACTAACAAATTTATTTGAGCATAAGCTTTCCTGAGCTACAGCTCACTTCATCTGATGTATTCAGTGGAAAATACAGTGGGGAGATTTATATACATAGAGAACATGAAACAATGGGTGTTACCATACACACTGTAACCAGATTGATCACTTAAGGTGAGCTATTATCAGCGGGGGGGGGGGGGTGGTGAGCTTTTGTCATGATAATCAAGGTGGGCCATTTCCAGCAGTTGACAAGAACTTCTGAGGAACAGTGGGCGGGGGGGGGGGGGTGGGGTGGGAATAAACATGGGGAAATAGTTTTACTTTGTGTAATGACCCATCCACTCCCAGTCTCTATTCAAGACTAAGTTAATTGTATCCAGTTTGCAAATTAATTCCAATTCAGCAGTCTCTCGTTGGAGTCTGGTTCTGAAGTTTTTTTGTTGAAGAATTGCCACTTTTAGGTCTGTAATCGAGTGACCAGAGAGATTGAAGTGTTCTCCGACTGCTTTTTGAATGTTATAATTCTTGACGTCTGATTTGTGTCCATTGATTCTTTTACGTAGAGACTGTCCAGTTTGGCCAATGTACATGGCAGAGGGGCATTGCTGGCACATGATGGCTGTGTCTTTAACATCTCAAAGTGTTCGCTGCTGAGCCCTGGTCTACACTACAAGTTTAGGTCAGATTTAGCAGTGTTAGATCAGTTTAGCCCTGCACCCGTGCACCCTAAAAAGTCATTTTTTTCCGACTTAAAGGGCTCTTAAAACCGGTTTCTGTATTCCTCCCTGATGAGTGGATTAGCACTGTAATCAACCTTGCTGGGTCCAATTTGGGGTTGTCTGGATGCAATTTGACGGTATTGGCCTCCGGGAGCTACCCCAGAGTGCTCCATTGTGACTGCTCTGGACAGGACTCTCAACTCAGATGCACTGGCCAGGTAGACAGGAAAAGCCTCGCAAACTTTTGAATTTCATTTCCTGTTTGCCCAGCATGGCGAGCTCTTCAGCACAGGTTACCATGCAGTCCCAGAATCACAAAAGAGCTCCAGCATGGACCAAATGGGAGGTACTGGATCTGATCACTGTGTGGGGAGACAAATCCTTGCTGGCAGAACTCCATTCGAAAAGACGAAATGCAAAAAATATTTGAAAAAATCTCCAAGGGCATGAAGAACAGAAGCTATAACAGGGACCCACAGCAGTACCACGTGAAACTTAAGGAGCTCAGGCAAGCCTACCAAAGAACCACAGAGGCAAATGCCTGCTTGGGGTCAGAGCCCCAGACATGCTGCTTCTATGATAAGCTGCATGCCATTCTAGGGGGTGCCCCTACAACTACCCCAGCCCTGTGCGTGGACTCCATCAATGGGCTCTCACGCAACAGGGATGCAGATTTTGGGGAAGAGGAAGATGATGATGAGGAGGAGGTTGAAGCACAGCAAGCAAGTGGAGAAACCGTTTTCCTCGACAGCCAGGAACAATTTTTCAACCTGGATCTAGTACCCTCCCAACCCACCGAAGGTGGGCTCCCAGGCCTAGAAGGTGGAGAAGGGACCTCTGGTGAGTGTACCTTTGTAAATATAATATATGGTTTAAAAGCAAGCATGTTTAATGATTAATTTGCCCTGAAGACTTGGGAAGCATTCGCGGCCAGTACAGCTACTGGAAAAGTCTGTTAACGTGTATGGGGATGGAGCAGAAATCCTCCAGGGATGTCTCAATAAAGCTCTCCTGGATGTACTCCCAAAGCCTTTGCAAAAGGTTTCTGGGGAGGGCAGCCTTATTCCTTCCTCCATGGTAGCACACTTTACCATGGCAGGCCAGCAGTATGTAGTCTGGAATCATTTCCAGACATGAGCCTGAGTGAGTGTCTGATTGGCTGCTAGCCTGCAGGGGGCGGGCAGTAGGGTGTCTGTTTGTTTGCGACAGGGAAGCCTGGCTGTTTAAAAATAGCCAGAGCTTGCGAACCAGCTGAGCGGCGGAGAACCACTGAGCAGCGGGACAGCAGAGCAGCTCACAGCAGGAGTTTCTGGGAGTTGGCCTGGAGTGAGCCAGTAGGCTATCTTCAAACTCCTGAGGAAGCTCATAGTAGGAAGGTGATATGGAAGGGGGTTCAGTGTTTGATGCACTGATGTCATTTTTCTTTCTTCCACAGGACAGAAGCGACTTTTCTTACAAATGCAACTTCTCCATATTGGAAGAGAAGATTGAAGGTCTGGAGCAACAGATAACACCTGTTGCATACGAAACTGAGGATTTTCTGCAAAACTCAGGATAGGCTTCTAGGGCACAAAGCTCTACAGATACAGAGCAGGTTCACAGAGGAGCCAAGAGGCCATAAGAACTTGCAACATTGACTCCAGAAGAGGTAAGCGAATGTCCGGGTTCCAGTACACAGACACAGGTAACTAACCTTCATTTCTCTCCACAGGTTCTTGCGAGCGGACCAATGATATGTCTGAAAAGCAGAAGGAGACTGCTGGTTGGAAGGCATGAGATGCGCTGTCCTGAGGTTGGTTCACGACCACCACTCCCAAGAGGAGAGGGGTGGTGGTGGTCGGGGCTTCTCCGGGGGACTGAGTCATCTATCCCCCTGACAAACGAGAAGTCTCGCTTGCCGGGCAAGATTCATGTACGGAGAGACTGCGAGACTCATCAAGCCCTCGTCCACCCCTTCCTCTTTCCACGTGGGCACCAATGATCTGCCAAGAATGACCTTGAGGGATCACGATATGTGGCTCTAGGAAGAAGGATAAAGGAGTTGGAGGTGCAAGTGGTGTTCTTCCATCCTCCCGTGAAGGAAAAGGCTAGGTAGGGAGGTCGAATGTGGAGTCAACAATGGCTACCAGATGGTGTCGGAGAGAAGGCTTTGATTCTTACCATGGATGGTGTTCCAAGAAGGAGTGCTAGGCAGAGACGGGCTCCACTTAACGAAGAGAGAAGAGCATCTTCGAGAGCTGGCTAACCTAGTGAGGAGGCTTTAAACTAGGTTCACGGAGGAGACCAAAGCCCTGAGGTAAGTGGGAAGCGGGATACCGGGAGGAAGCAAGCAGGATTTGTGAGGGAGGGCTGCCATATGGGAATGAGGCATCAACAGGTTATCTCAGTGCTTATATACAAATCCAAAGCCTTAAACAAGCAGGAGAACTAGGTCCTTATTCAAGGAACTATGTATTGAATAACAGAACTTGGTGGTAACTATGACTGGTACTGTCATTGGTTATAAACTGTTAGGAAGGACAGGCAGGGCAAAAGGGGGGGAGTAGCACTTATGTAAGGGAGCGTATGATGTCAGACGTACGAAACTCAGAAAAACCTGGTTCTCTGGTTAAGTTTAGAAGTGTGTGCAACAAGAGTGATGTAGTGGTGGGAGTCTGTATAGACCACCGGACCAGGGGATGAGGTAGATGAGGCTTTTTGGCAGCTCAGGAAGCTACTGTCCTGCTGATTCTCATGTACTTTTTTCTGTATTGGAGACAATAACGGTGCATAGACAATCAGGAAGTTTTGAAAGCGTAGGGGACAATTTTCAATGCTCGAGAGCCAACTAGGGGGCCTTTTCTTGACCTCTCTCACAAACCGTAGAATTAGTGGGGGAAGCAAAGTGGATGGGAATCTGGGGGCAGTGACCATGAGTTGTTGAGTTCAGGACTGACAGGAAGAAAGGTAAGCAGCACGATAGGACTGACTTCAGGAAGCAGACTTACCCTCAGGGAACGGATGGCCACCCTGGGGCTAACTTGAAGGGAAGGAGTCAGGAACTCTGTTTTCAAGGAACCCTGTTGAGGTTACAGGGACAAACATCCCATAGTCGAAAGAATAGTAAATATGGCAGGCGACCAGCTGGCTTATGGTGAAATCTTAGGGATCTTAAACATAAAAAGA